TATATATATATATATATATAATACATATATACGATTATATACATAGGATGCGCGTCGAGTTAACTCGTTCGCTCGTGACGAACACGTGCGACATCGTCTTTTCTCCACCGTTTCACAGCATGATCTCTTGGAATCTGTAGGTAATCGTGCGCCCGAGGAAACCAAATGCAAACGAGATTAAAATAATGGGATCTTTCGATATCGTTTATGTACGTCAATAGATTTCTGCATATACTCACACTCCTAATATGACAAAAACGATACGATGATGAAATTAATGAGTATGTAGATAGATATATGTAATCTGTGCTAACAAGAATATGTCTACAATTGTTACACGTTTACTAGACTAATATAATACGTTTGAAATTCCTCGAAGCAAATTATACGATAAAACAAAAAACAAAATGAACAAAAATAAAGAGAATAGGGTTCGTGTCATGAGCACCAATTTGGCAGGTTAAAAAGAATTCTTTGAACGGTAACCTGATAGAATATGGACGATCGAGGTACTGCTGTAACGCAGCCCACTGCCTACGTCACTAAACGTGACCAGAATCGTTCGTGTATGTTTGTATACATGTAGATGTGTGCGTACGTGTGTGAGGAAGAGAAGGATAGGAAGAAAGAGAAGGCTATCCGTGTGTAAGTACGAATAGGTATGTATTTTCAACGTGTGTGAGTGAAACCAAGCAAGTCCGTCCCCCTCAATTGGATCGAGTTACGATGAACAAATCGCTCAAACCTAATAACAACGACTATAATGCGAAGAAGGGTACCTGCGACCCCTTTTTCAAAAAAATATTTTTACGAATCGAGAAGAGAGAAGAAAATAATAATAATAATAATAATCAAATGGAAGGGAGGCGCGATTCAACGTCGATTTTAATTAAACCGTCCGATGGAACTTGCTGCTTCCGTCGACAATCATCTTTCCATTTTGCATATATTATATTTTATACACAATTTATTTATTTTTTTTTTTTTTATTATTTAATTTTATTTTTATCCCTGTCCCCTCTCCTTCAATCTCTCTGTCTGTTTTTTCTTGTTGTTTTCTCTCTATTTCCGTGTCTCCTCTTGCGTTTGTACTACAAATATAATTTATCCGATATGATGGACGTATGTACAAATATGTGTACTTAAAAAGAAAGAGAGAGAGAGAGAGAGGGAGAGAATGAGAGAAAGAGACAAGGTTAACGAGCTTAACAACAATGTAAATCAGGAATATAAATCATCTCGAAAGAGTCGCTCGATAAATATGCAAGCTACGGTAAAGAGAAACGCACTGCAAGAGGAATTCGAACCGGCTCTATACGATATTCAAGTGAATGTGAAAGGGAAAGATGAAGAGAGAAAGAGAGAGAGAGAGAGAGAGGGAGAGAGAAAGAAATATAACAAAAACAAAACAAAATAAAAATACAAAAAAATATCGAAGGCGTGATGTTTGCATCATGTGAGAGCACGTAGTCGAAACGCAACATTCTTTTATAACTTGCTACTTGCAAAAATCACCTAACACGCATTTTTCTTGATTAAAAAAAAATAAATAAAAAAAAAAACTGCGTTACACCTCGGTGGCTTTAACAACAAAATTTATTCAACTTTCGAAGAAACGAGAATGTTTAAATACACGGAAATGTATTCTAATAACAAGAGTGTATATGGGAAAAGAAAAGAAAAGAAAAGAAAATGACTTTTGTAACGATTAACGGTTCTTAGTGAAAAAAAAAAAAAAAAGTAATTGTTAATTGTAATAAACAGAAAGAAATTCTCTATGGGATTGTAAAAGCTAAGTTTTAACAACTGCAAGTAATAAATCGTCGCAATACTCGATAAATAAATAGGAATATGGATTTATAAAAATTATTTCAATTGAAGTAATAAAATTAGAAAGTTCTATTGTAAAATAAAATTATTAAAAATAAAAGGTAAAAGAAAATCTTTTTTAAAAAAGGCTCAAAAAAAGTTAGTAATTCTACGAAAAGAGTTCTTTCAACCGAAGCGACGGCAAGTGCATATCGCAAAAATAGAAAATAGTAAAATGATAAACAGGTATAAAGTAAAAAAAAATAAGAAACATTTCATTTAATCCATCAACTTTGTGGCTATATAGCTGAATAAATTCGATGCTAATGATAGAAGTTTATTAAAAGGAACAAAAAGAAAAAGAAAAATTCATTTAGTACTCACCGGATGTCTCGCGGCAGCAGCAGCTACCGCAGCCGCGTTGATTCCAGCACTAGGATACATAATAATATTCCTTGTCCAGGTTCCTTGGGTTATCTTCCTTCACGAGAAAAAGGTATCCAAAAAAATTTGGGAGTGTCAAGGTCGCGTCATCGCGATGCACCGACACGCGAAAAGATAACAATTACACGAAATTATTTAACGAACGCGATTACTTAACAAAGTAGAAAACAAAATAGCAGCGCCGAATTCAAACGGCGAAAACTCGCGCGGGCTATGCTGTTAATGGGGAACGGTTGAAACGGCTGGAACGGTAGAAACGACTGGAACAGCTGGAACGGCGTGCCCTCGTAGAAAAATTTTTCTGGACGATCCAAGCGTCCCTCCGAACGACGATCACAATTCCTTTTCGACGACTAGGATCCATCGGCATGCTCCACGTTCCTCCTCAACGCCTCCTTTTTGCATCGATCCGGTTCGCGTTGATCCGAATCGCGAAAGTAACAATAACGGCGTCGATGAAAATCACGAGATAAAAGCAATAGAAACGATTTACAAAATGATATAACAGGAATCGGAAGGAATAGCAAAGAATTCAAAGGCGATGAAAGGTAAGAGAAGACACCGTGGCCGGTTTAGCAAGTGTCACGTCCTTTTCCAACTTTCAGATCAGTCGGTAAAATAGAGAGCTACTGAGACGAACTGTACCACGAGAAACGTACGCGGAAAAACGCCAATGAAAATATGTTTATTTTAAAGATGAACGAAGAACGTGTTAGTGTCACAGCGTTATAATAACTCGATTTTTCCGAAAGATTTCATTTTTTTATACACCATTGTTCCTGAGGTCGATAATTCCGTTACTCTTCGTATTCACAGTTACACCGAAGGAAACACAAAACAATTATGTTCACTGGTACGATCCTTTCGCCAATTATTCACTGAACACTTTTTAAACAATTATACTCCATACACACACTTGCGCTTCCAACTCGAAGCTTTAGAACGAAAAACGCGCGATCGTTGTCAAAGCGTCGATTTGAAAAGTTTCACGACACGAAACAACCTCTCCCAACAACGTACACGGCGCGACTGATGGACGCCGAAGTAGTGGGGATAGAGATCCCCACTCTGACTCCCTCCCACTCTACTCTACCACTCGGTGGGTCTCTTACTCGTTCTCCTTCTATCTCTTTTCCACCGCTATAAGCACCCCGCACCCTTCTACTCTTTCGTTCTTTCTCTCACACTCTCTCACTCTCTTATTCTCTCTCTATCTTTCTCTTTCTGTCTCTCTTTCTCTCTTATGTTAGATATGGCTCGTTCTTTCTTTCAGCAACATTGCTGCCTCGCTTCACCGCACTTAGACCCGCCAAGCAGCCCCTCGAACCTAGTCGTCGTCTTCGTCGTCTCCATCGTCTCCATCGTTTCTGGCATTTCCATCTCCTTGTCGTTCTCTCTTTCTCTCTCTCTCTCTCTTTCTCTCTCTTTCTCTTTCTCTTCGTCCTCAAGGCTCGTATTAACCGGCGCGATAGCTCCTTCACAATTAAGTCGCGTTATGTAAGGGCCTCGAAAAGGCGAGCACGAAAATCACGGCTCGTTAAAACGTCGCTACGATGCTCTCCCCTTTCTGATGCGCCCCCTCCCTCGATAGTACTTTACTCTCTATCGTCTCTCTCTCTCTCTCTCTCTTTCCACTCACACGTACAAGCTGACACGTGCATGCCCTTTCGCGCTTTCCGATGGCTGGATGTTCCTCAGCCAAGTTGATTTTAATGCTCTCTACCGAGTTAACACGATCAAACTCGACGTTTTTATTTTTCGATCGTAGGGAGATCGAATCGATGACGGGCCGGTTCGAAACTTCTATTAAAACGTAGCATCTAACAGACCGAAAATAAAACCAAAAAGAAACACCATCTATTTTCTATTGTTATTCTTTTTTCCATGAAGTATCTAAGGCGTCAGGAGCTAGCATGCTCAAACTTGTCTTGTTTTACGACTATATGTTTCTCCTAGCATTTTCTCGTGCAAAATACGGAGGAGAGAAGTTGCGCGACTCCTATCTATGTATACTTTACTACATGTGCATATACATATATATATTTACGTCGTCATTGGCGGTTCTACAAACGATCGAAATTAGTCACGACTTGTGCATGGCTCATCGTCGATAAGAGAGGAAGGCTTCGTGAATATTTTGTCGAAGCTTTTCTTTCTCTCTTTACTGTCTTTTTCCCTCCATCAACCGTTCGACGCGCCCTGATTTTGTTTGCACTACGCGAAACGATACGCCGCCGCGGGAGATGAGATTTAAAAATAGCGACTGACTCAACGAAAGTAAGTAAGTATACCTATGTATACATTTATCGACGTTGATTACGTATCTTACTCTCCCCTTAAACTATTCAGAAGTCTAGTCGATGGTTTAGATTATTTCAAGGAAAGTATCAATCGGTGGATGAAGGAAGAAGACGATCTCGGTATTGTATGGTTCTTCGAACGATTCCAAGTAGAGGTAAGTATATATCGAGAAGAAGACAGGATCATTGGAAGCATAGATAGGTGGATAGATCGACGAAATCGCGGCCGTGGCGTACATACGCGCGAGTATTAGCCGTCGTTCGTCTCCCCCCTTCAGCCGACGCGTGCAAACAAATCGAAAGTTTTTCGCAAAATGGCCGTCACCGGGCTGACACGGATGTCCGCATAAACTCGCTCTTTCCCTCTACCCTCCCCTCCTCCCGTTCCCACTACCCCACGTCATTCTCTCTCTCGGTACTCGTGATTTCCCTCACCTCCCATACCACCACAAATATGGCGCCTCCACCCGTTTTCCCAACCCCTACATACCGTGGCTGCATAAAGTGCGAGAGCGAGAGTAGAGAGTAACAAGGGGTAGGGATAGGAAGGAAGAAAGGGCAAGAGAGAGTAACCATGCTTTCTCTTCTCTCTCTCTCTCACTCCTTCCGTGAATAGAATATATGTAGACGCACGTATCTCACTCTCACTCCCTCATCACGGTTGCGAACGTACATGCGCAAGTAGTGAAGACCGGGTTGCTCGCGTGTGTGGTAAGGGGATGCCCCTATGTGAATATCGCGCAGCACACAGTCCCAAGCAGTTTCCTACTTGATTGCCGCTATCGTCCAGCAGCCTCGTAAGGGAAGCCGTCCGCGTGGATTCTGTTACTACACCTCGACCAATCAGAACGTTCAAAGTCGAGCCTTGGCCAATCGTAGCCTTATACGCCCTACCACTCTGTGCTACTGGCGCAAAGACTCGAATGAGAGCTCGTCCTCGTCCAATCCTCGACGTGACTTTTTCGATCGACGTCAGCATGTTTAGTCCGCGCGGACTTCTTCGTTCTCTCTCTTTCTCGCGTTCTCTATGGCCATAGCTATACGAAATGAAGGTGCTACGCGAAGCCGCAGCGAAACATGAAAAATAGGGGGCTACACGAGGAAAAACACGGTTGAGGGAGGAGGTGGAGAAGGTGGTGCTGGTGAAGGATGAAGAGGAGGTGGAAGAGGACTCTGTGGGATGGACCCTACGAACCGAAACAGCAAAGGCTGTTCAGGGTGATGTGATGTGGTGGTGGTGATGGTGGCAGCGGTGGTGGTAACGGTGGCGGCGGTGGTGCTGCGCCGGTCGGAAGATAGAAAGGCCGAGGATGAGAATGGAAAAGTAACATAACGAAACGTCGATCCCATTACCTGAAGCTCTCTCGCTCTGCCGTACAGCGAGCCTTGCTTTCGACCCTTAATCCAAAGAAGGATTAGAAAACCCCATTGTCATGCTTCGCGGAACGCGAGATGGTAGGTGTATATGTGCGTGATTATATATACGCAAGAGCTCTTTCTCATTCTCTCTTTCCCTCTTTAATTCTCAGAGTCGTATATTCGTCGGTTGGTGCATGGCGGAGGCGATGGTGCGGGACCTACCCTTAATGAAATAAATACGTGACGTACCGCGGCAACGGTGGGTTTTGTTTATCGCGAAAACCGTGAGCGTATTTTGCTTTGTCTCTCTCTCTTTCTCCCTTCCTCTCTTTTCTCAGGTGCGGCTCTTTATCTCCTTTCCACCGAGTGAAGAAGGAATATAAGGTAGTACCGTGGAGTGTTGGCGTAGCTGTCGGTCGCGCTTGGTCGGCTGCGGTTTATACGAGAGCCGCCTTGCCAGCCGCTTGCCGCCTGCCGCAGCCGGTTTGCGTGTTCACCGTGTTCGCTCCGTAGATACGTGTCCTCGGTGCGGCTCTGCGCGGTACTCACCGAACTCTGGCCAAAGCGCGACCGAGAGGGAAAAGGAACGAAAGTGGCGCGTAGACGAGAAGCACGCGAGCAAGTGCAAGAGAGATCGAACGATACCGTGAAAAGCGATAGCGAGAGAGACCCCAATAAGCGGCAGAACCAGTCGCTGCGGTTGCCGCGGCTAACCACACCGATGTTCTCAACCTGCGGCGATCTTGCCCGATCATCGCGGATCTTGCGAATTACGAAAAGCTGCAAGATAGTGCAACGCGAAGCGTTCGACCGTGTAAGAGGATAGAAGTAACGCAGGAAGGAAGATAAAGAAAAACGTGACACTAGGCCCCTTTGGAATTTACCTTTGCGCAAGAAAAAGAGTCAACAGCTTAGAGCCTCGTTAACTCGCCAAACTTGGCCGATGGGTAGGTATTATCGTTTACACGATCTATCCTTATCTTAAATCGCTACTCTTAATAATCTATGGAGATAGATAGAAAAAGCTAAGATACGTGGTATCTAAACAGATAAGTTTGTCTCTTTCCTTGGTGCGTATCAATCGTTGTTTCGATAAAAATTAGATTGGGAAAAAGAAGTCTTTATATCCGGGAATACCTTTCGAAGGAAGCGCCTCAGGTGGGCTCTCTATTAGTGTCATCGTATGAGAGAATTTCCTCCTTGAAAATGGCGGTCTATATACGAAGGGGCCGACGTAATTAATTATAATTGGTTGAGTGCACCGGGCAACCGCGTCGTCTCTCTCTCTCTCTCTCTCTCTCTCTCTCTCCCTCTCTCTTTTTGAATCTCTCTCGCTCTCGACCAGCGACCACTTTATCCAACCGCACGAGAGGAGATCTCGTAAGAGGCTCGACTTCTACTCGGCAACGCCAAGACTGTCGGACGTTGCCAAGAGGACGCGATCGACCGCTTCGAGCCTCATTAATGTATACCATCGAGAGAAAAACAGGACAAACAGAGAACGAGAAAGAGAAAGAATAAAACGAACAGCTTGAGAAGAGATACTGACTTTAGGACCAGTCGGATATGCTGTGATCCATAGCTGAAAAGTAGTTACGAGCTACGAGCAAAAGGCTGTTCCGAGAAAACTTGATTCGTTTTATAGCAAGATCGAATCGCAAGGAGTCGACCTTCGTCGGATCGATCGCGATATATATAAAAATCTTAACGAGCGGTGAGTGGTAAACATCACGCCCATGCCATAACCATTAACGCGACACGCTGCGTACAACGTGTTTTCGTACACCATAATCCGTGATTCGAGGAATCACGTTTAGTCTCTTTCTCTTTCATCTCTCTCTCTCTCTCTTTCTCTTTCTCCGGAGCTCGATGAAGAGCCAGCATTATCCCAAAGGATCGAATTTCTAGACGAGGCTCGAAGGGTCGACTCGAGGTCGCTCCTCGACACGGTGGTCGATCGAGGGGAGAACATTTGGCTAATGTCTGCTGACTGTCGGTGGAGTAGAACCGAACTCGATGCTTAATGGATAAACGAAAGCTTTCCCAGTCGAACGATGTTAGCAATTAAGTTCGATGGATCTTCAGTGCTCGTTCTTGTGATCGAACATGATATTTGCTACGTGAAAGGGCAAAAAAAAGAAAGAAAGAAAGAGAAGATAAGGGAAGAATGAAGTTTGGCCAAATACAGAAGAGAAAAAAAGAAAAGAAAAGAAAAGATGAGAAACGATGGTTAAACGGGCTTGCTGCAACTAACGTTATATAAAAGTGTTCAGCAAAATAGGAAAAAAAAAAGTTTTTGGCAAAAGAGTTTTGGCCGTGCGAGTGCGCGAGTACGTGAGTACGTTGACAAATGTCTTCCGCGGTTCTGGCACAAAACGCGGAGTACCGTTATCCAAATTACAAATAACAGCCGGCTACGTCGACGTTTTATCCGACGGCCGGAGACAAATTGGCTCGAGGTAGGATGGGCCAAGCTCGAAATTATCTCCCTTTTCGCGGTGTAACCGCGTGTCGTTGGACTCGGTTAATACCGGTAGTGGCTCGGCCGCTTGCTCGACCGCCTGCTCTGCTGCCTGCTAGCTCGGTCTCTTCCTCGGTCTCTTGCTCGGTCTCGTGCTCGGCACACGGAATTAACACGACCAAGTGTATTTATGGATCCAACTCCGAGCACCACCACCATCAGCACCAGTACCAGCACCAGCATCACCAGGTAACTCGAGGAAGACACTCTACGATCTTCAATCCCATCCCTCTCTCCCTCCTACGCATCTTCTACTCGGTTCTTTGTATCCTTCCTTCTCCTCGCGTTTTTTTCTTTCCTTTTCTTTCTTTACCATTCTTCCCCTTATTTTTCTTTCTTTTTATTCATGGAGCTGAATTAATTAATGAGCTTGGACAGGGAGAGCGCGTTACTCACTTTATGAACCTCACCAGCGTGGGAACGCGTTCCTTGCAATTTGTATTTCGTTAATTACCGCGAGAGCTGCGAAAATTTGAGAACGGCTCGTGGCGCGCTTCTTCTCCTCGCTCGTTATGAAAGTATTTACGTGCCGTAATAATAATTATCTCGAGAAATTAAGCTCGAAAGCCATGATTATCGCAAAAGAATCGACTTTCTCGCTACGTTTCGTAAGCGATAACGAAAGAGACTCGAGAATCGATCGTATTCCCACTTTTGCTCTCTCTCTCTCTCTCTCTCTCTCTCTCTCACTTCGAACGACACGATTAACTCGAGTTATAGCTTTACAAAGGTACCGTCGACTAACGCTCAACGAAGTAGCACTCGCATCGAGTGGATCCTTTCGCGCGAGGAGAACCCTACCGTTTTCGTCTAGTGTTCTCTATTGTATCGGTACTCAACACAAACTTTCGCAGTGCTGATATTCGCTTCTATGAATCTCGACGAACGAATAAAGAGAAAGAGAGGGAGGGAGAGAGAGAGAGAGAGAGAGAGAGAGAGAGAGAAAGAAAGAGATCGGCATCCTTTTGCGTTCGACGAAGCGTACAAGATAAATCTTTGTTAGCGTACAGGGCCTTCGGTTGCTCGAGAAATCTCCAGGGCATGCTTTACGAACGCTCGTTATCGATGTTTAAAAGAGCCATCGAGATCCTCTAATTACTTTGCTTCTCTTTCTCTTTTTCTTTTTTTCCCTGTCTCTCTATCTGTGTCTCTATCTCTATTCGTCTTTCTATTCAGTCATCATAAATTATCATTAGCTTTGTCGCACAAATAGAAGGGCGAATCGTCGACGTCGAAGATAATCAAATAACGTCACCCTTATGCCCCACGCCATTGGCCCAGATCCTACTATCGCGTACCACGGTGCACATTGTACACGTGTACTCACGGCGGGTAACGCGTGCTCGAATATAGTGTTATAGTGTTCTCGGTGCGCGCGACAACGCATTTACCATGCAGTCGGAGGAGACGCGTAATGTACGTTTGTAAAGTTACACCAGCATCGTCATCGCCACCACCACCACTACAACTAACACTAGGATCGTTACAACGGCACGGAGAGTACTCGTAGTATCTATGTAGGTAGTACGTATGTACAAGAGGTAGGAAAGCTCGAGAGTACTAGGACGTTCCGACTCTACGAGAGTACATGAGCTCACGTGGAAACTTCGTCGCGCGATAAAGCGCCCACACACTCTGCCACTCCTCCAAAACGGAAAACGAAAACTTTCATATGACGTTATCTCTACATCTCAACATGAATTTCTCCATCCTCTTCTTGGAAATTTGCACTATTTCAGAATACATTTCTGCTTTGTCACTGTATTAACTACATCGATCGATACGAAGCAGAAAATATTCAACAGTTCAACGAAGTGGGAACGAGCAAAGTGGTTAGAGATGATTTTGTGACATCTAAGGGTCAGTACCATTTCGTCACAGGATTATACCGTAAAAAAGAAAGAAGAAAGAGAATGTTAGGAATAGACTAACCATAAGAGAAAAAAAGAAAAGGAAGATAGAGAGAAACGTGCTGGCAAAGAATGCCAAGAGAATCGTGTAAGAGATTTTTAACGGTCGATTTACCGCCTAGCTGCTTCATGATTCTCCCTAGTTCGTCCTTTCGAAAATACAGAAGCAGTGTCGTGTCAGCAAAGGCACACCCTTCGGTCAGTTAGCGTCCTTAAAGAGCTCTTCTGTGCTCGAAATTCTCCCTACTCTCTGTGACCCATTCGTTATTCGACGTTTCGTCACGCCGGGGGGTCGAAACTGGCCGCAGATGTCGTCTGTAAACCTTCGTCAAGCGTGGAAGCAAGACAGAGAAAAGGAGAGAGAGAGAAAGAGATTTCACCCTCCGTAAAGTCGTGTTGCCATTGTATCTCCTGGTGAATACACGCCCTTAAATAAATCCATCGAGGGAGAGAGAATGAGAGAGAGAGAGAGAGCCGGTTTCGTCAAAAACATAGCCTTCCCTCTAGAAGCTTTACCCTCTACTTCGGTTACCAGTCAACCAGAGAATCCCTGCGTTTCGTACGGTAGTTCGCACGAGGCCACAACTCAGACGTCAAAGATGAACAGCGGAGTGTGTTTTCGAAGCTGCCATTACCATTTAGAGAAACGTTAGGAAATGTATCCACTTCGATGAGACTAGGGTAAAAGAAAATCCCCTATAAAAAATTCTTTTATTCAATATTGTTTATATTGCTTTCCCTTAACTTCGGTACCCAAAGTTTACTTTGGCTTACTTTTAAATTAATCCTAGAAGTCATTATTGTGCAGGTGTGATAAAATAATTACATTAAAATGCAAAAAATACTAAAATTATAACGTTATAATCTTAAATACTCTTTATTCGGAATACTATTACCGTTGTACACATGTGTAATGTTCGGAATGTCACATATAAACAATATTTCATATAAGAATTTTGACACAGGATAACTTGTCAGTTTGAAGGTGAATTTCGAAGAGGACGGTGTACCGATCATATACTGGGTGTTTTTAATTAACAATACACATTCCTTTCAATTAATTAACAATTATTTTAATATTCTAATACATTCTTTTTATATTATATGTAAATTTAACCCTCAAAGTCATTACTGTGCAGATGCGATAAAATAATTACATTAGAGTGAAAAAATGTTGAAATTAGAACATTAACAGTTTAAATTCACTTTATTAGGAATATTATTACCGTTGCATACATTCACTCATACATTTGATTTTCTTTATATTGTACTAATGTAATCTTATGTTATACTTTTTTTCAGGTTTCCGAGCATTGGGAGAGTCTAGCAGGAATACAACATATACATTTAATTACTCGTTACTGTTCTTTCCTCCTATTTCTCTTTCGAACCCTGTTCCGTAATCTCGAAACGAATTCGTTTCGTCTGTTGCAGTTTCTTCTCGCTCCCGATCCTTCTCCGTTCTCCACGCTTTCATGCTCGCACGCACGAAGCGAATCAGCGAATTACGACGATTGAAATTCAATTCTGCGCGCAACCGAGCGGCTAATTAGACGCAGTTGCTGTGGCAACGCCACGTGTTGCACTAGCTCGTGCGATCGCGCGTATACGCCCGCATAAACGCCCGCATCCTAGTATCCTCCTCGCTTAGGGAACGCGGGCAAGACTTATGTGTACATACTCTTGCTTGCCTCTCTCTCCCTCTTTCTCTCGATATACCTTCAAAGGACAGGTGTATCAAATGATTAAAAGCGATTATGCAGGTATCTTTTTCAAGATTTGTCAGATATTCTATCAAGGGATATATACTCTTTGATTTATATTTTCAAATATATTAAATCTTTGTAATCAAAGGTTTAGCATATTTTTACGATAATATTACTATATGATATATATTAAGGTATAATACAGATACTGATTTTGTGTGTATATTTATACAGAATAAATATTGTTCAAATTTGAAGGAAATAGAAAAGAATCAGTGTTTCAATTTATTTTGAAATATAAACATATATATATATGTAAATAAGTAAATAGATAAATACATAAGTTAGTTTATAGAAAAAAGACAACAAAGAAATGCAATTAGCGAGGGAATTGATGAGACGATCGAGATTGGATATTATCTCTTCTTTCGAAACAAATCGGTTCGTTAGAGCTTTATAAAGAGACAGGTATTCTCAGTTATCGAAGCGGACGAAGTCCCTTTGTCGAGAGTGGAGGATCAGCCTTATCTCTCGATTCTCGAGGAAGCCCTCGTTTCGAAAGAATGTGCTCTCCAAGAACGTAATCCGCTTTTCACGATCCGATCTCGAAGTGGAAGGACGAAAAGGAGATACCTGATAGAGAAGCGAGAAAGAAAATCGGTGAACTAACGAGAGGGTGAGAGAGAGAGAGAGAGAGAGAGAGAGAGAGAGAGAGAGGTGGATTAGTAGACAGGTCCGGCGTCAGGCGGTATACGAGAAGGCAGGCTGTTAAACCATAAGCCACAAGCCGGCGTACGGAGTACGCTAAGCCGTAAGGCATTGGCTGATGCTACGATTAACGAGATCGGGCATGCGTGCCGAATAATTACTCATTTGCTCTGTCGACGGTGTAGCGTAATACTAACCGGCCATCCCGTGTTGCGACACGGAAATCTCGAATACGAGCATGGCGACGACGACGACGATGATGACGACGACGACGACGACGACGACGACGATCGTTTATCGATCGCCACTCTACCATTAAATGCCCATATAACTAACGAGAGAAAGAATGGGAGGGAAGAGGAAGAGAGTGAGAGGGAGAAAGAGCTATAATAATAATGCATGGGTATATGCAGAGAGGCGCGGACGCGCATGCATAATTAAAAATTCATCTGGCGATCGACGTCGTCGTTTTGCATGTATATATCGCCCTATATGCTACCGTTTACGATGTCGATCGTGCTTCCAGATCGGTAAAGATAAACACCGACAGGTTCGCGCGTTGCGTAATACGGTGTAGGAGAAAATGATGAGCGATCGAGCCGCATTATACTAATTCGGCTAATTTCTATCGATACCGAACCCGCTGTTGCTGCTGTTGCTGCTGTTGCTGCTGCTGCTTTCCGTCTCGATGCTTTCGATGTTATGAATAGTGACATCGATGTCGGAGCTGCTCGAACATATCGTTCCAATTGTTCGTTATGGATCATTTATATATATATATATATATATATATAATCGTATGCACGATGTAGTTCTAATACTAATGCTCAATTTTATTACCTTTAAAGTTGTTTTTTTTAGGTATATAACTTCTAAATATACTACTTAATTTATTGTAGATTTTTAACGATACCTATTTCATTTACATAATTGGATTCTAACATCAGGTAAATTTCTAGGATTTTTTTGTGTGTAAATTTTCCGAACTATTTTCGTCTGGTATCTCTCGTGGCAAGTTACTAGGAGATATAAAATACTATAACATACTTATATACATAGTATAAATATATCTAGGTAGATTCTTTTGGTCGCTTCATCGGACTATCGTCTCTCTTCTATTTCTTTTTCCCCCCCATTTATTAGCCGGTTATCCATTGTGACGGTCTATTGTGTTATTATTATCCCAACCTACGTCGTCGTAGTACGTCGTAGTCGACGACGAGGACTACGACGACGACTTCGTCCTGGGCCCACACAGTGCTCTCTATTATTATTATCCACGAGCGCAGGAGGTCGTCCGTAACTATCGGCGACGGGCGGTGACTTAATAATACTTCGCTACGTTAGCTTAATGGGGGCTGCCGAGCGTGTAAGTCCACTAATTTACGTTTTTCCCTTTCTCTTTCTCTCTCTCATCCCTCGTCTTTTTGTCTCTTTCCTCCCCTCTTCGTTCCAGTCAGTAACACACGCACACAAACACAAACTAGCAAGGAAGGAACGTGCTAGACCGACACCCGCACCGAAGGGTTCATAAAAGGCGCGTTAAGCGAATAAATAAATTCTTTGGACTTGCCAGTGGCTTCGATTAGGGTGGAGGTCAACACCTAAACGCTAAAGGCGGTCGCTCATTTTTCTTCTTTTTTCCTTTTCCTTTTCTTTTCTTTTCATTTTTTTTTTCTGTTCCCCTATAAAAAAGGGCTTCTCCACACGAGAAGCCCCGACATTTTCTCTAACGTCGACTTTCATCGAGAATTTATGAGGCGACTCCTGCTTTCGTCGTAATCAGATTTACGCGGGCTGCTTCAAGGCATCCGCCCGCCGCCTATTTCTCGTCTTTCTACTCTTTTTCCTTTTCTTTTCTTTTTTTTTTTTTTCTTTTCTTTCTTCCTCCGTTTACACGCTTCATCCTGTAAACGCGTCGAGGATACACGAAACGTAGAAGCCAAAGGCTAAAGGGAGCGGAAAAAAGTGTCTTTTTCTCGTCGACAAGAGTCGACTTCCCCTTTTATCTTTTTTTTTTTTTTTTTCACAAAAAAAAAGAAGCCCACTTTGCGTTCCGACAGTCTCACTACGGACAAATTTTGACGATGACACACACCCGTTGTGTTGTTACCTTACTTTACCTCCTAAAAGCTTGACGTTTTCTATTTAAAAGGGGTTTCTCTTTCAAAGAGCTTATCTAACCAAGGATTTATTTTATTTTAACGCAAAATCAAATTCTCAACCTTCCTAACTACTCTTTCACGTTCTTTAGAAATGTTGTTGTTCCTTTTTTTATTTCCTCTTATTTTTGTTTTTTCTACTATAGTAGATAGAGAACGATTGGAATCGAAAAAATTGTTTTGCAAATTTTCAATGTAACACACGACGTTTTCTCTTTCTTTATTATTTTTTTTTTTCTTGTTGTTTTTCTTTTTTATATTTTTCTTTTTCTTCTTGTTGTTGAAATTGTATAGGAGAGAAACGGAAGGAGAAAAATCAAGACAGAGACAAAGAGAGAGAGAGAGAGAGAGAGAGAGAGAAAAAGAGGATACTCGATAACGATCGTAAACTTTACGTTTCTCCTCATGACAATGCTTTCTCGCTTCGAATAATAACGAAGCTCGTGCGTACAAAGCGACATGGAGAAAGACACACATACAAATACACATAATACATAGAGTTACAAACACGTTCGTTCGCTCACGCAAGCATATAGAGATATAGATAGATAAATGGTGAGAGAGAGAGAGAAAGAGAGAGAAAGAGAGAGAAAGAGAGACAGAGAAACGTTCGTAAATTCAGACGAGTGGAGGGCCTTTGGAGCGAGCATAATGGCCTCGGTATACATCGAGGCGAAAGCGTATCTGCATATACGAGGTATGCCCCTCAAGAGCCAACAGCAGCAACGGCAGCAAGGCGGCAACGACGACAGCCACCACAACGACGAAGACGACGATTCTCTGGTGGTAGTCGTCGTCGTAGTCGTCGTAGTCGTTCGAACATCCGAGACAATGCATCGTTTATCTCCGATCGACTCCGAGAACGACGAGGAACGATGAACGAACGAGTAGGAGGACTCGTACATCCAACCCAACGCGTACATGCGTTATGGAAGACTCCAAAAACAGCTCTTATATGGTTAGAAACGATTAAATCATGCGGAGAGACAAAGAAATATTTTCTTCATCTGCAATAGTATTTTGTTCGTGATGCAAGAAGTCTGATCATCAATGAAACTTTTAATATTTTTTACGAATCTTTTTCAGTAATCTTATTGTTTTATTTTTGTGATCAATGTTTTATTAATTATATCTAGCAAAATATTTTATTTATATAGTTATAATTAATTTTATAGAGGAATGTGTAAATACAAAATGTTTTAAGGATATTCACTCGTATATCCATTGAATGAGATACTTTTACATTATTTGGTCAAATTTAAAATATTTCTTTTAAAATTGTACACCGTTAGTTAGGTTCATTAGATTTTTATTTGAAAAATATTGATACAGTGTGTTTAGGATTATAATAATTATTTAGAAATATATATATATATATTACTAGAAATATATTAATAATTAAATAATAATTATTGAGAAATAAATATATTACTATACCTTAATTACATATTAGGTCGTCTCAAAAGTTATTTTTGGCACACATTATTTTTTAGGTTGAATAATTTAAAGTATAGAAAAAAAGGTAATATATAGAATAGAATCGATATGATTTAGTAAAATAACGTAAAAAAATACAATAATAATATTACGCGTGCAATATTGTTTACCTTATCTCGAAAAAAAAGGAAGACATTTTTAGGACGATCTAATATTTACCGAGTTTATTTCTAAATTGTTTCTTTATTTTGAAGATACTAAAATCTAGTAACCGTAACGATATACGAATTTGAAGGGATACTCATTGTATACAGTAGCAAATAGAAGAAACCCTGTTCACCGACATGACACAAACTCAAAGATTGAAGAGAGCAATAATATAAAGGAAGAACGCAGAAGGAGATGGCTCTTTGCATTCCTCTGTTTGCGTTAGAGGATTCTCCAGACCTTACCCGTCCAATTGCTTTCTTCGAATCCAATCTGATTTAATTTAACATAGGGACTCGAATGTTGAGGGAAAAGATTTCGACTGAATTTTGAGAGGGACGGACCTTAGATTTTTTTCTTTTTTTTTTTTTCTTTTCTTTTCTTCTTATTAGTTTTACCGATTTTGCTCAAGGACGAGAAAGCTGAGATAGAGAACAAAAAAAAAATAAATAAAAAGTAAAGAAAGTGAGTGAGCAATTTAACGAGAAAGAGAGGGAAAAGGAGTGGACGAAGAAGGCGTAACCGAGTCGGATGACAGTAAATAACGAGAGGTCCTCGAGAAATTTGAACCCCCGGTAGAGTTGGAGTGGTCGAGCGTATACGCAATCGACCAACGGAATCGA